ATGCTGTAGTGGCATTCTTTGCTGTTAAACACACAGACCTGACACATAATTAGGTCTTTTAAATATCTACTGACTCCAAAAGTGAATAGCACTCCCAAAATGAGGCCAGGGCACATACATACCCAAGCCCTCACTGTCAACAGCCAATGTGCCCACTTATAATCCACCAGTATGTTAAGCCAGGCTGTGAGAAACACCACCTCATGGGAAACCTGACGATGGCCAATCTCAGAAGGAACTGAAGTCACTGACTGATTTTGTAGTCTCTGAAGGGATCTCCCAGTGCCAGGAATCACTTCCTACATTAGAACAAGGAGAGGCAGAGCCAGGAGGTACACCAATACTTCAGAACCTGGTGGCTACCAGGGATAAAGCAGCAGGGGTCAAGGAAGAGGCACACAAGGACACAGATGGTGGAGCTGGGGGACATTCTTCTGCTCACTGCCACAATCCTACACCCAAACTTCACCTTCCTGCCAGGCTAGCTTTGCAAAGTCTTTGAAAGGAGGCTGTGCGTGACCTTCTTTCCCAATACTCAAGCTTTTCTGACCCCTCAAAGCCACCTCTGAGAATGCAGGGCCTGGCCAGATGATCTCATTAGTTAATGAGTTAGGTTACTGTTGGTTTAATTTAAACTTATTGTTATCATCAGGTATATCTCATAAACACTTGATTAGTTAACGCATTCAAATCGAGATAAAAACTTCAATTAAACTGAACATTCACTACTACCATTTAGGGTCTTTAAAAAAATAAAACTAGAAAAAAGTAAGAGAGAAGAAGAGAACGCAGAGCCTCTCAGAAGGGCCTCCTACAGGGCAAACTTCTAATTAAACAAATTGTCAATTTCAGCACAATGAAAACTGATTTAGGAGAGTAAATTTAGTATTCTAGTCACTGAAAATAAGACCTCGCCTTGTCGATCTCCTACAGGCTGATTTCGCCCGATAGGGAAATGAGGAGTAGAGGAAGAAGACAAGGATAGAAACGGGGAAAGATGCAGAGGAAAGACAAGCTGGAGCCTTTTCGTCCCTTCATAACTAAAGTCTCCACGGAATGCAGCGGGGCCTCTTTTCCTGCACTGAGAAACTCTTTCTTGCCTCCTCCTTCGCCCCACCCCTACCAGATTAGAAAAAAAAAATTAATCGTGTATGATGACAAACTTGGCTCAGCACTCACTGTACATACTGTACCCACAAGCCTGGCTCACAGCCAGGCCTGGCCCAGTGCCAGGACTACAATAACAAACACAGGCAGCCCGAGCCAAGAGGGGGTGGGGCCGCCAGCACACAGGCTAGGAGGGAGCCCTCAGCTCGCTGAGCAGAAGCAAACAGCAGGGATGTGCCTGCACCAGGGCACCAGAGACCCTTAAGGAGCAACCAGGACCTCTGCTCAGACCTGGGCTTGCTTCTCTACAGCCGGCTTTAAAAAGGAAAAGGAAAGAAAGAGGTGCCCCCTGTTCTTCCAGCCTCTGGGCTGCTACTCCAATCCTTGCTGATCGTCTGTAAAGTGGGTCTGTGCCATGATCATTAGGATCCATTCTCACTGTCAGTATCCCCCTCCCACGGAGCCTTCATAACAGAGCAGTAAGCAAACCTCATGTCATCTAACTAGGCTCATCTTCCAAACCAACACACTGTTACCAGGTATCTGGGGACTGGAATCTTCCACAAGACCTGGCACCACCAGCTCAAGCTCACACCCCAACCCCAACAAGGCCATGTCTTTGCAGGCTCCTGCCCGGAAGGCAGTCACCATTCAGCAAGCGGCAACCAACTCAGAAAGGGGTCTGGCCTCACGAGTCCTTTGTGCTATTTGGTTTGCAAGTTATCCCAGCACAGGGGTGAGAGGTATACAGAGAATAAGAAAGAAGGCATAAAGACTAGAAATCTCACTCAGAGGCTACATGCCAGAGTGAATTACTGTACTACCATGACTCAGTATACCTTTCCCATCACCAAATCCTCCTTCATAGGGGAACTGACAACTGCCTCTCAGAGGGACAGATCACTTATCCAGTCAGCCTTCAGTGGCCAATAAGAGAGGCATGGAAAGGGAAAACTAGGAAAACAGGGCCTAACTCCCAAAGCCTCTGAGACATCCAGATGACACCATAAGGACCTGGAAGTGGATCTCAGGAAAGACTGGCGTACACATCCCCAAAGATCTGCCAATCCAGAAGGCAAGGGTTTGCAAAGTCACTATCCTGTCTAAACTGGGGCCACCCAAGCCCATCTGAAGTATGAAATCAGCTCTTTTCCTTTCTGCCACAGTCACCAACATACCACACATGGGGATTTCACAGCAGCAAAGACACCAGCTAACCCACATTGGTTCCACTGCAGGAGTTACTTACAATATGGGTCAGGGGAGTCCTTGCTGTCTTTACCAACCATGCCCCTCAGCCACAAGCAGTTCCTGTTGCAGGAAAATGGAGTCTGCTCTAGTTGTTCATTTGCCTCCCAGGCTGCACTTGATTCTTTCAACAAACATTTGTTGATTCCAGTAAGGTGCCAGGCGATGTGCTAGACATCATCAAGACCAATCCTATCCCCGATTAGCTTTTACTGTGGTCTCTTAGAAAATGAAAGGAAAATCTCAATACCCTGTGACATGTCAGGTATTGTGACAACTACTCAATGTGAGCCTTACAACTGCTCTGAAATAGGGCTGAGGGTTAAATACTCTCACTTTATGGAAGAGGATGCTGAGGCTCAGAGAGCCTAAGTTCACATCATCAGAGGTAGGCGCCCAAATTCCTTCTGCCATCTTACCTAGTCTCCCAAACAGGAAAGATAAGGCATGTCCATAAATAACCCTAAAACAAAGATGAAAGCTTCTGGCTCCAAGATATATGGGCACTTAAAAGGCACAGTTGCTTCTGGCTGGAGGTGGAGAATGGTTGAAAATGACATTGAGAAGGGGCCTTCGAAAATCTGGGAGGAGGAGAGAAGGGTCCGTCCAAAGGGACAGGATGGGGTGAACAGGGTCACCAGGTTCAGAAAGTACGTGAAGCAACTCAACAAGCAGATGGTTCTGACTACTGCAGAGCACTGGACTCAAGGAAACAGAGGCAAAGAAAGGATGCTTATTGGGACTGAGTTTCAGACAGGACAAAGAGCTAACAACAGGCGGAAACGTATTTGTGGCCCCACTGAAGTGTTCAAAACCACAGATGTCTGTCTGGGGAAGAAAGCAAAAGAAACAGAAGACCACTCAAGCCAGGCGTGGTGGCACAAGTCTGTAATCTCAGCACTAGGAAGGCTGAGGCAGGAGGATCACTGTGTGTTCGAGGCCAACCTGTGCTACATAGTAAGTTCAAAGACAGCCTGAAAGAAAAAAATACAGGAAGGACTCACACTTTGCTCTCAAGGATCATGAAGAGACAGCCAACATGGTTGAGAAACAGTTCATGAAATCACACACTGAACCCTAAACAATGCACAAAGCAGAAGGGAAGCAAGAAGATACAAGGTACACATCACTAAAACAGAAGAAAAGATGTACAAGCGCCAAGCAAATGCTGAACACAGGAATGCCTGGACTCTGGACTTGGCTGAAGTCACACAGGTGGGGCAGGACGAGGAGTGCTCAGTGGAACAGAGTGAGGGGTCCACGGGAAGGAGGAAGGGAACAGATATGGGACCTGCCAAGATAGACAGCTGCCTGGGGTTAGCCGAATCTCTGGATCCGGAAGAGAGAAGCATGAAAGCCAGAAGGAGTTTGAGTACTTTAGGAGGGGCCATGAAGACCAGTGGGAGAGGTGGCATCCACCAGCACACAACTGCCCGGGGATTACAGCAAGGCAGTGGCAAGCAAAGCTACTCACAGCACTTACATCACGACACACACAAAGGGCAGCAGGAAGAACAGAATGCCAATGTCGACAGACAGCATTAGGTGATAGGGACTCACCCCAGGGTAACAGCTTCAGATGTAGGGGAAAGGTGCAAGCAGAAGCCACCAATATCTGTTACACACCAGTTGTACGCCAGGTACATACAACAGATCCTTTCAACATACATTCTCTCACCTAGTCCTCAAAAAAACCACAAAACTGCAGGAGTTAGTAATACCTATACCCTTCAGATGCAGAAACTGGGGCTCACAAGAAGAAATTGACCACAGTCGCACAGCACCTGTCACAAGCAGGATCTGAACCTTTATCTGTCCAACCCCAAAGCCCATGCTCATTTGACAAACAGTGGACTGGAGGGCCAGTTGCTTGAGGCAATATGGAGAAAGAAGAGATAGATGTTGGCCTGTGTGAGAAGAGAGCAAGATCAAAGAAGAAGACAGCCCATTTCTCTCTCTGAAAACATGACTCTGAGGTTGAAAGCCAAGATTATTAGAGGGAAAAGAGTGATCTCTTGGCTGAGAAACCTTGCAGCATCTACAACCAAAGGCGGGTGACTCCTCAGGCTTCAGGCCACAGCATCAGACCTGCAGGCTCCTTCCCTGCACAAAGAACACCTGAGCTGCTGAATATCAGTGGCGTCTCCCCTTTCCATGGCTCGTGGGGCAGAGCAACTTTGCCCAAACATGAGCAAAATTGCCAGCAGCCACACACTCAACCCCACTAGAATTGGATAAAATTAACTTGCAAAAGACAGCACACTGTAACTAGCTTTGTGTTCCAACCTTTCTATATCTATTTAATTAAAGGCTCCAGTATAATGTGAACCCAATAGTCAGATTCATTAGACAGCGAGAACTAATTCAACAACTGTTTTGCTAATGAAACTGCAGTCTACTTTGGAAGGTAGATCACATAGGGCATGGGTGCGAGCAATGCCCTGGGAACCCCAGGGGAGCATGAGGATTGGTTTTGTCCAATGAGCATACACTGTCAAGATGGCTTTTCTGCTCAGTGAACCTGCAGGGAGCATCCAAAGGAAAAGGTGGACCAAGGCCCTGGCTGGCAATGGCTGGAGGTGAAGGTGGGCAGGAGGTAGTTGCCTGTGCCCGAATGGGCCAGTAGTTAAGGCATCCTCGCCTACCTGAATGAGCCAGTAAGTGCATTCTCAGTCGCAAACTATCCAGGAACCGCTTTCCGCAGAGCTCACACCCGTACGTCTTCATCCCACTGTGCAGCTTCCTGTAGGGGAAAGGAAAAGACAGGTTGCTGCTGCTCTGGATGGATAGAAGGTAGGCCCACCCCTACCTGGGGCTTGGTAGCCATCCCTCTGGCAGATGGACAGGAGGAAGATGATGGAGGGTATAGCACTGATGGACACACATCCTTGAATTCTCCAACAGCTCCCATGGCCCCCTCTGCCCATGGACTGCTGTCAATGAAGCAGCCATCCTTCATCCTGTCCAGGGGCAGAAGAATGGGGCTCTTCCTATAGCTTTATTCACTGGCACATAGACCAAGGGAAAAAATTCAGATCTGTCTGCAGAGAGAGGATGGAAGCAACACTGAAGAAAGGCAGACAGACATAATGCTCACTATCACACTACCACAGATCCTAAGTGGAGGCCCACTGGCCTGATTACCTTGGAGCAGCACTGCCCTCGCTGAACTGTGACTGCATGTGCCTGGGTCCCCCACCACGCACTACAAGCAGCAGGACTACACCTGTGCCCTTTCTCCTCTCCAGGAACCACTATGCTATATTGACTGGCACAGAGTCTCCAAATGAGCTTATAAAGGAACTGGTATCTTTATGGACATAAGATGCTTCTCTCTTGGGGTACCCAGGTAATCTTGGAATGGCAGTGGCCCTTAGAATATATTCTTTCCTTAAGGCCCAGTTTAGAAGTGTCTTCCTTCTGTCTGTGCTTTACCCATACAGAAGGGTTTCAAGCAATCAGATCATGTCATTCTAATACAGAAGGTGGTGGCAGCCATTTTTGGCTGTCTAAAAGTACTTCCGCACACATTATCTCATTTTGTCATCAGGATGATTCTGTCAGTTGGGCTGGGCTATGTTATCACTCCTGGAAAGACATAGGCCCTAACAACAACTGGTCACAGGCCCAGCCTGCAACAGTCCTCCAGTCCTGACTCCCACGTGGGGTTCTTTCTTGCCAGCCTCCTTGCTGGCTCATGACCCAGCAATGGAGCTAGTAAGATACAAGGAATGGGGCAGGCCAGAAAATAGGGAGTTAAGCACTAGACACAGGCTCTGACTTTCTCCCTACTCATACTCCTGTTCTGCCTCCCTGCCATTTCCCCCAAGGAAGAGGGTAGGCAGAGGTAGAATCCGTGGGTGGTACACAGCCAAAAGAATACATGGCTCTCTGTGTTTTCTACAACCTACTACAATCAGAACATTGGTATGTTAAGACCATAGTAACAGGCTAGAGAGCCAGTACTGACATTAGATAAAACTGCAGATGTGCAGACAAGGTACATGTACTCAAACTGGCAGTGCTCAGATAGTGACAATGAAACTGAGTCACCCCCTCCTACCAAATTCTAAACTCCCCAGTGAAGGCCCAACACTGTGTCCAAACCATGCAGAGCCCCTAGGTGAGCCTCCTTAGCACACAGCCTATGGGTAAGTCATGAGGACAGCATACAATGCAATGTGTGCAGCACTCTGACAAAGATCATCATGCACAGTTCCCTTCGCAGAACTCTTTCTCAATCACATTGTTTTGTTTAAGCACTTTCCCTTTACTCCTTTGCCAAAGGCAAATGATTTCTCAATCACACACACACACACACATCCATGATACTGTCAGGTACCCCATGCCCCATGTTATTTCACTCTCAGGCACAGCTGATACATCTAAATTGAGAAATATTAACAGTACAAAACATTTTAATTGAACATTCTTAACCCTAAACAAATTTCACTAGGACATGTCCTAAATGTTTGGAGCAAAGTATGTTTTCAAATATGCACCAGGTATGGATCGGGTGCGTGCATGTGAGCACACACACAGACACACATGCTAGTGGAGCATTCCCATCTCTGGGGATGATGGATGTCTGCTTTCCTAAAATGAGTTCCACAGAGCGGCAAAGGCTCTATTCATGGGGAGTTACACAGAAGAACTTCTTGCATACAGTCATGGTGAAGCCAGTTGGGTGGCAACAAATCTTTCTATTCACTTATGATCTGCTTGTGTCCAGGGGTACCCACCTCTTGGAGGTGGCTGTCAGGAAGAACAGAAGGACAGATGCTCATTTGGATTTGTTTTCCAAAAGGATTCTGAAGTGACCAGTCTTTAGACTCTGGGAACTGCCACTAGACTATACTCCCCTCTTGGGCTCCCATCTCTTCTCCCTGAGGGTTCCCAATCAAATCCCTCACCTGATGAACACTCTTTGAGTAATGCCATTGCCTTTGCCTTAGATGTGAATGGATTTGCCTGGAAATTGCTAGAATTGGCTTTCCTTTCAGTGGCCAATGGGATAGATGGCTTAATGTGAAAGGTGATACCTGCTCTTCTGCAGAGGTAACAGGGCACAGGGAAGAATGCCCAGCAAGCAGCTAGAAGACCTGGATCCTCACCCTGACTCAACCACTAACTTGGTAAGACCTTAGACAAGCATGCTATCATAATCTCCCCATGTTTCTCACTGGTAAAGGAATGTGGATATATCTAAAATTTTGGCTGGAGATAAAACTGTATTATTCCAAAGTCTTACCCATATCCTTTTACCTAGCCTCCAAGGACATCCTCTCAGGGGCACTGTTATTCTCCCTATGCCATGTCCAACTTGTCACTTGCCCTGTGACAACTCAAGCAGTCAGGTAGAATAGCCCAAGCACAGCTCAAAACCCAACCAAGCAATCTATACGTTTTTAAAACTTTTAATCCAGATCATAAGAGTTTCCTCTTTTATTCAGTTGGTATTTAGTTTTCAGCTTTCAGTTTTCCAGAACTCACTGTGAACCTTTGCTTGGAACCACTCTGTAGCCATGCCTTCCCTAGCCTTCAGAAACATGGAGATCCTGTCTTATCCAGTCCTTGGATAAGGACACTGCCCTACAACTGACCACTAAGTGTCCCTCACAGGTTACCAGAGGCAAGCATGGCATCCCTATGTATCCACACAAACAAGGTCAAAGGTCTGACCCCACTGGCAGGGAAACCCAGGCAAAGCACACAAAGTTCAGAACAGAAAAAGGGAACAACCCCACAGGACTGCCTGAGAGTTCAACAGCACCTAGCACAGGTTTGCTCGTATCTTTAATTATTATTCATGTACCAAGGAAAAGAGTATGGAGAAATAGAGGCTTCTCCTGGTTCAAAGAAAAAGCAAATGGCAGAGAAGAACTGAATCCATTCAATGGACTTGGCTACTGCCAGACTCTATGACATAGGCCTCAGAAGAACCAGTGAAAAAATAGAACTCCAGCTTGTTTCTGGAGCAAAAGTACAAATTTATATGAACTCACGGTCATCTCTCTTCAGACCACAACTTCCCATAGCCACTGTCATCACATTAAGCACATTTCAATAAAAATGGAAATTCTATCCACCTTCTTCCTCCTTACCACATTTACTGCATCTTTCTAGTTTGGTCCTTTCTCTTCAACCATCTAACCACTCATGGCTGTCTGAAATCATCAGACTCTACCACAGACAGAGGAAAAAGAGGACAGTTGGGGATATTTTTCATTTTTCTGGTGTTCTCACACTATTCTTTGCAAAGAAGCTACATTACTGAGCACCATTTTGATAGTAACCTGCTTCTAGCACGGCCATAACATCTCTATCCTATACCCAGGAGAAGATCCATCTCCTTCAGATAGTTAAGGTCCCTGTTACTTATCCTCAGGGAGTGAGATCAAATTCTCCCCCACCCATAGTGGTGACCCATCTCAAAGAATACCTAGCCCGCTAGATAAGCTCAGTAATAAATTTTCACTTATGTCCAAAAAGACAAATTAAAAAATTAACCCCAGATTTCCATCTATATTTTCAAGAAAGCTGAATTATTATGAAAAATTAGAGCTAAGCAAATCTGTACCCTTTCACAAGTAATGTAAGAAAAGGACCTATTTCTTTTTTTTCTTTTTTTTTTTTAATAAAGGGACCTATTTCTTCTCATCAAGTCTTAACTTGTAACTCTCACTAGCAAAATCAAGTTAACAAGAGACAAACTCATCATGTGAACCATTTTCCGAGTCTGAAAATCCATAAAGATTCTGTCTGGTGCAGACTACAAACTCCACTATGATGGATATCATGTAGACATTCCCTTTCCTTCATAAGACCTAAATGTAAAGAGATTGCTCAATGCTGCTGAAGAACCCCCTCTAGGTATGATGGGGTCTAGGGCAGTCCTCTGGTCTTCCTAATATTCCAAATGTAGCAGCTTCATGGGTAGCCTCCAATCCAGAACCAGATCCTATTTCGTAGCCTATGGCCTTCCATACAAGAAAGGCCAATAGCCTGTTCAAGGCAGCATAAACCTGAGCTTTAGACTAACGTCTCACCTTTAGAAGCCTCATCAACCCAGCCCACCTGGGACAGCCACAACAGCATGAGTGGCAGCAAGGAAAGACCCACAGCATATTCCGGACTCCCTACTTTCCATCTCCAGAGACAGATGGTCGTAACAGCTGCTCCCTAAGGGGCACCCTCTACGTGCATTCTCTGCTAGAAAAGCTCAGCCCACATCCATCGCATGCAGTTAAAGACCAAGGAGACAAGGCTAGAAGAGCTAAATGTACTACCAGGTGCCAGGAGAAAAAGGCCAACAGCACTGGCTGGCAGAAAGAGGGCGACTCAAGCCCCAATACTGCTAATCCCACATTTATTCTCAAGTTCCTCTGCCCAGAGACAAATGGCAAAGTTGAAGCAGACCAACAGACAGAAAAGGTTTAGAGAAAAATTCTCAGTTCCAATAGTCCAAGGGCTGTACTCCCTCACACTCCTACTGGGAAGCTGAAATTGCCCAACTTGTGAGATCTGCTGGACAGAACAGTGCTGGGAAATGGGACCTGTAATTGGGGAAAGCAAGCAGAAGGGAACTCCATAGCTGGACCGTGGACAATGTTTTCCTTGTTCTCAGCTTAAGTGATCCATCCCCTGAACCAACAGTCAGACCAGCCCAATGTGGCCCCAAAGGGCCTTCCAACTATTCTCCCTACACTTGAGGATGCTCCAGATGTCTCCCCAATGCTTAAG